CGAGAAGTCGTCAAAAACGGCTCGATCTGCCGAAACAAAGCAGGCCGCTCAGTATGACGATTGGGCGCATAAACCCCAATGAGACGTAAAGCCTTATCCTTTATAGTAACATCCAGCACACAAAGCCTGCCCGCCGGATCTGCGAAGACAAGGGAACATGCAGCCTTCAAAGACTTGCTCACTAGCCAAGAGACACCCCTCGAACGACCATCAAAACATGCTGAATCAAGGGCGAACCCCTTAGACAGTATATCCTCATCGTCATGAGAAGAAAACCGGGTCTCTTGCACACAACAAACATTCACCCCGAGGCGCTGAAGGTCACGAGAGAGCCTCGCCCTGCGAGACTCGGACCTCAGGCCCCGCACATTTTAACGTAGCTAACCAGAGAGCCATCAAGAAGTCCGATTAGGGTTGTTTACCAGCATTAAACATGGCCGGGGTAAGGATACCGACAGCCTCTCCCATAGACCCATGGCCCATCTCATTCTTGATGGTGCCGTCTTGGGAGATACCGCCGATATCCCAGGGGAAGGTCAATTTAAGAGCTCTATATAGGGATGGGTGAACTAAAACGGGGACCCTCCCTGCACAGAACTGTTGTAACTTTTTTAAATTGTCATTCTCGACAATGGCAATGGGTAAAGCCATCTTACAGGCATTTACGGCTTCCTCGACCATAGCCCAGGCTTGATTAGCCGCAGGTCCTGATCTAATAACTGTCAGGACCCTCTGGGCATTTGGGAAATTTTGAGGCGATTCAATGTCCAGATCAGCAAACTGCTTAATCGAGAGAAGGTATTTGAGATCTTTTACCCTATTACCGTAATCCCTGGCTCTCTCGGCCTGAGCTGGGGAAATACGGCATACCTCCTCTCCTGTGTTGAAAATAAGCCTTTTTTTCCTTCGTTCTTCTTTTGCTTCTTGTGTAGGGCTTCTTTGCCTCTTTGGAGCAGGAGGAGGCATCTCGGCATTTTTTGCCGGTGATTGCTTCGGGGTATGAAGGGGGGTGGGTTTTTGTTTAACGGGGGAAGGAGTGGGTGTATTCATAGGGGTATAAAAGGATCTATGCCTATAGGGGCTGGGATCTCTACTGGTGGGTTTGGCCTTCGATGGTGAAATAGCAGGCGATGAAGGGGGTTGTTTCTTCGGAGAAGGGGCGGGTCTACTAGAGGACGTAGAAGGGATTGGGTCTTTTCTTTCAGAATCCAGTCGCTTTTTTAATTCTTTTAATTTTTCAGATTTTTCAAAACCGGGGTCGAATCTCTTTTGTTTTTCTTGAAAAGTTTCGTCAGAGGCCGAGGCATCGCCCTTAACGTTGTTAGAGGGAGTGGGGCTGTATGTGCCTTTCTTCCTAGGGGCTTCAGGGGACTGAGGACCCGCTGTCCGGCGCTTCCCTCTGGCCTTACCAGCAACCAGCCATTCCCCCTCCCCCTTCTCCACAACTGCACCGGCAGCGGGCGAAGGCTCTTTGGGGAATGTGGCTTTCGATGTCGCGCCGACCGGAGGATTAACCGACCCGGTCCCGGAGGCTGGTACGCCCATTACAGGCGAGGCGGAATTTAGAGACGCGGTCAGAGGGGATCTTGGGTAACTGGCGCTTGACTTCCAGAGGCCTTCTTCTCTGGGCAGGAGGAGGAGAGATGACCAGTCCTCCACACCTCCAGCATACCGGTCTTCGACCCGTCACAATGACCGGTAATTTCAAGACGCCAACATCCAGACAGTTGGGGATGGAGCGGAAGGCTTTCTCGTCCAACATGATGTCAAAGCTCCACCCCCCGCTCAGGCTATCACAGGAAGCTCCCAGAATTTCGCCATACTGAGAGAAGAACGCCGCGAGATGTTCCCCGATAACCTGAGGAGGGACCTCGTATACCGTTACCCTGGTCTTACGTCGGCCTTCGTACTCTGTGCGCAGAATAATCTCTTTGTTGATTAGCTCGCGGCTAGCCGCGGCGACGCAGTCTTCTGGTGTGGGCAACAGCACGTCCCACATGAAAAATTTGGGTCCCTTAACTATTCTAATGGGCTTGAACCCAAAAGTTCCAGTGCTTTCAGCACTGTGTTTTCGTCGAGCGACAAATTTTGCGCGTACGCTTGTCCACGACGAAAACCGACACTATTCTTTTGTCAATTTTCTTCAATTCTTGGGGGTCTTCCAAAAGTCCACCATCTACAACAAGGTGTGCGTAACTTTTGGCACGCTCCAAGAACTCCGCCAAATTGATAATGCACTTAGGAGGGGACGACCAACAAGAGGGCGATTCCCCGGCCTCAGGCTCAGTTAGCGGTTCATTTTCGGATTTCTCAGAATCTTGGCCATTATTGGCCTCCATAGTTGAATCCTTGTTGTTGCCATTCTTAGCTTCCGTAGAAGTAATTTTTCCATTTTCATTGACTTTTTCCCCAACAGTTTCCACATTGCTAGGGGAAGAGGTATTAAGAGCTGGAAACTCCTCCAAACTGTCTTTGTCCGGGGGGTCTTTTTTGGTAGGGTTAAAAAGGTGTTTTCGAATAGCCTTTTTGGGCTTTTTTTTAATAGCCAAAAAGGAGGGTGGTTTTTTTTCCTTTTTCTTTTCCATTTTTAAATAATAGGAAGGAAGGGGAGGGGTAAATACGGGTGGGGCACCGCCTTATAGGCAGAGGGAGGGAGAGAAAAAATAATAAAAGGGGAGGGTAAAAAATAAACTTTTGCTTATTTGCAAGACAACAATTTAAACTAGTAAACAAATATCTACAGACAAAAATAAAACAGAAGGACGTGTGCAAAAAACCACAAATGTAAACGCAAACCAAATGGACAGACAAGAAAATGTGAACAAGGTTCACAAAAACGAAGAAAGAACAAAAATTAAAAAGATAACAGACAAGAAGACCACAAATTACACAATAAAACTAATAGTTATAAACGGGAAAAAAAAGAGAAAACGCTATACAAGAACGTACGAAACAAAAAAAAAATGTTACAATTTACAAAATGGCTGCCGCTAAAAAAACGGTCAACCCGACAAAAAAAGGAGGGACAGAAATTACAAAATAAACACAAAATTTAAAAGAAAAACAAATATTATAAACACGTAATTAACAGGTAAAACGTAGACTTTTTTTTTTTTTTTTTTTTTTTTAACGGGTAACAATAAAAAACACAGAAATAATTAACACGTAATAATTAAAAAAAAGTCGGACGAAAAATAAACAGATAAACTCCGGGACGTGGGCAGGGGAAGAAAATAGATTTAAACACGTAAAAAAAAAAAAAATAATTACTAACAAATATTGAAGTAGAATAAAAGGGAAAGGAAATGAAAAGGAAAAAATAAAATGGTCAAAAATAAGAACGTTAAGAAACGATAAATTTAACAGAAAAGTCAAAAATCACGTTAGAAAAAAAATAAACTTAATCAACAAACTTAACTAAAATAAAGCCGTCCAACAGTTCAAAAGGTAATCCTGTGTAAGACAGAAAAAATTGACAAAATCCGGTCACGAGCCGAAAGCCTTCCGTTTGAAACAGCAGAAACGAGCCTGCTTTATACAGCTGCGGACCGACCACGATTTGCATGCGAATCACGAGGCAACGAGACTTCACGTTAACTGACCGAGACTACTCGGCATAAAACGCGGGCGCCGCCATTTTGGTTTTCTTTTTTACAGTTGGAAGGACCAGTGTTTACATACTGCGCAGATTCGAACGCGTTTCCGAGGTAGGCCATTTTCACAATTTTCCCCCACATACGAATACAAACATCGGATAAATTCTTTATCTTTAGGGAAAGATAATGAAATCTAAACATACACAAGTCCTAACTAAAAATAATAACCGGAACGGGAAACTACTTTAAATACACATGGTGTCCAATTTTTTTACTGTATTCAATAAGTAAAAATCATAAATTATAAAAGCTTATTATTACAGAAAGGCTACTAAATGAATAAGATTTGTTAGATCATGGTTAATAAACCCAAATAAAGTTAATATTTTTTGTATTAGAAACAACGAGTGGAAAATATATTCAAATCAGAATTCTAATTATGAATCACCACAAGCAAAATATGCAATTTTTATTACTGTATTCAATAAGTAAAAATCATAAATTGTAAAACTAGAAGATTACAGAAAGTCTACCTACATTTTTCAACCGATTTCAACAAAAATTCACTTCTTTTTTTGGCATGTAGTGTTTCTTATTATCCTGCACACTTTTTTATTTTTACATTCAGAATGCTTTAAAAATTCCATTTACAAGACAATTATTTATAATAAAATTCAATCGGGAGACTCATAACGATTGAAAACAATGTTTTTGTTTGAGTTTGACCAATTCGTAAAAAATAAAAAAAAATAATTAAGACATGCGTGTCCGTCAACCTAAAACAATCTTTGTCAATTTTATTTTTCAGTCTTTATGATGGTGGATACTTGATCTATCTCTTACTGTTATATCCCCGGGCAACTCCGGGCTCTACTGCTAGTATTATATATATATATATATATATATATATATATATATATATATATATATACACGCCGAAAATAAACCTACACTGAAATAATTGTTAATATAGTACACATTAAAAAAGTGCTCAATTTCATGTAGGAACCTGCCATGCTTTATCTTTGCCAGAGTCAGATTAGACCAAAAATTTAATACTGTGCTCAGGAGTTACCCTCTCATCATTTTCCTATCTCGTCAGAATTCATAATCGTTTACGTGCTCTTTTCGATAGAATACTTAATCTACATTAGCGAGACAATACGTGATTCACGTAAAACGATTAAACGGTTTTTTATTTCCTTTAAATGTATCATGTTCAAAATTTGATTTATTTCACTAATTTTCAATCAGTTTTATTTTTATTTTAGTGTATAATGTGACTTATATGAATTATACTATAAATTCTTTGCAATAGTTGCTATTATAGACAAGACATTCAGCTCAAAAACCTTCTCGCCATCTTCAGTTATACATTTTGACTTCCTCTCCGTCTCTTTCTAGTGTCCTTCCTCTGTGTATCTTTCTATTCTTCTGTCTCTTTCTATTGTATTTCCTTCCTGTCTCTTTCTATTCTTCTGTCTCTTTCTATTGTATTTCCTCCCTGTCTCTTTCTAAGACCCTTTTCCTTCCTCTCCAGCCTCTTTCTAAGACCCTTTTTTTTTCCTCTTTTCTTTTCTAAGACCCTTTTCCTTCCTCTCCAGCCTCTTTCTAAGACCCTTTTCCTTCCTCCAGCCTCTAAGACCCTTTTCCTTCCTCTCCAGCCTCTTTCTAAGACCCTTTTCCTTCCTCTAAGACCCTTTCTTTCTAAGACCTCTTTCCTTTTCCTCTCTCCAGCCTCTTTCTAAGACCCTTTTCCTTCCTCTCCAGCCTCTTTTTAAGACCCTTTTTCTAAGACCCTTTTCCTTCCTCTCCAGCCTCTTTCTAAGACCCTTTTCCTTCCTCTCCAGCCTCTTTCTAAGACCCTTTTCCTTCCTCTCCAGCCTCTTTCTAAGACCCTTTTCCTTCCTCTCCAGCCTCTTTCTAAGACCCTTTTCCTTCCTCTCCAGCCTCTTTCTAAGACCCTTCCTCTCCAGCCTCTTTCTAAGACCCTTCCTCTCCAGCCTCTTTCTAAGACCCTTCCTCTCCAGCCTCTTTCTAAGACCCTTCCTCTCCAGCCTCTTTCTAAGACCCTTCCTCTCCAGCCTCTTTCTAAGACCCTTCCTCTCTGACGCTTTCTAATATCCTTCTTCTCCATCTATTTCCCTTCCTCTGTTTCTTTCTAATAATCTTCCTCTTCGTCTCTTTATATTATCCTTCCTCAATATCTCTATTTTTTTCCTTCTATTATCCTTCCACTTCAACGTTCCTCTCCATCTCTTTTCTATTACCCTTTTCCTTCCGTTATCCTTCTTCGTCACTTTTTTTCAACCTTCCCTTTATCTCTTTACCTTGTCCTTTCCTCTCTATTTCTATCGTCCGTTCCTCTTCCTCGTCATCCTTCCTCTTTCATCTCTTTAGGTTATCATTGCTCTTCATCTAATCATTCGGCTTTTCCTTTTCGTCTTCCGACTTATGTAGATTTTTTTCTTCCTCACTTTTCTCTTTCTTGCCTTTTTTTTCCTGATATGACTGGCGGTTTCTATTCGTTCGTTTCTGTCTCATATTCAGTGAATGTCGATCCAGCAGATTGCAAAACATGTGCTCGCTCTACTTGCAAATCTATTCGTATGTTTACCTGAAAATCTACCAGATAATCCAATTGTCTGGGCAGCTGACATATTTCTTTCTTCGAATCAGGTTTTTTTTTCTACTACAGCAACCAAACCCCTACCCATGTCGAGTGACCCTATCATTCTGCATTTTTTTCTCTATCCGCCATTTTGCAGTTATTTCACTTTAGTATTTAATTTTTTTTTTCTTTTTAATTACTTAATCTTATTACTGTCGATCAATGTTCAATGTGTCTCCTGGCTCATTGTCCTGTTTTCTTTAGGTGAAAAAAAATGACACAAAAGCAACACAATGAATAAATATATGAATAAATAACAACCTTCCCGGAATGAGCTTGCTGTGGTTGACAGGAAGCCAAAGAAAAAGCAATAAATATCGAGGTCAGTAATATATATATAGTTTATGAAAAACTAGGTAATCCGTATGGGTAAACCTAAGAAGGATAAAATCCAGAGAGCTCAATGTAAATCCAGAGCAAATAATTTAGAAAAAAAACAGGCCACTTTAATAAATTATTTCAACACAACCCTTTTAAAAGGACTGCGGATCATTAGACTTTACTTCCAAACAAAAAATGAGAAGAAAATTTACACATTTTTGACGGGCCGTAAAAAACATATGTAAAGTGAAGAAGTGAGGGGGGAGAGAGAAGACATGAGTGAGTTAGCAGACATTGACACATTTAAACGGAAGTTATATATTGATATCGAAGGGATTATATATATATATATATATATATATATATATAGTTGGATAGATGTGAGTTTGTGACCCTGGGTTTCACGCTTTTGCGATCGTCAGGAGTTTGTCTGACGATCGCTAAAGCGTGAAACCCAGGGTCACAAACTCACATCTATCCAACCAAATATGTTAGCTCTATCTCTGATATTGAACGCATTCTAATAAGTACCGCGCATATAATATACAAATAATTATACATATATATATTTATTTATATTTATATACACTTTTATATATATATATATATATATATATAACAGAATATGATAATCTAATTCTTCATGACGTGGACGCCCATAGCTCTCCGGAGCTTCCTATTCCATGTCGTACTTAGCAACGTTTATCCATTTGTCAAGTCTCTTACCCATTGTTCTGCCATTCATTTACACAAGCTCGTTAGGTAGGTTATTTCTTCATTTCCTATGTCCCGCTTGCCTACAATGCGTTTACGGCCATATCACGTTGTAACATTGGTTCCCACACGATCACCGATCTTCTCGCAATCCTTAAGTGTCATCCAGTACTTTTTCCACCTCCCGGCTTTCTTTATCCACCCACGCAAACTCTGTTGTCTGCTTGTACATCATTTTCCTTTCAGGGCAGTTTGATTAACAGCCAAAAGTCACAGGCGGTTTACGGCCACATCACGATGAAACACCGGTTCCCGTAATATCACCGAAGTTAAGCATCGTCAAGCCGGGTCAGTATTTTGATGGGTGACCGTTTGGGAATACCGTGTGCTGTAAACTTGGATATGCGGGTGGTGTAATGGATAACGTCACGGGATTGGAAATCAGAGTGCCGAGTTCCACTTCCTGTTGGGTTCGTTATATTCACTTACGCGCCAATACCCTTGGAAAATATATAAATGTATATTTTCCACCAACTTTGGGTTAATTAGTAAAACTTGTGCAAGTAAATCATTATTGCCCCAAAATTTTTACAACCTAAAAATATTTTCTGGCTTTAAATAACCTGTAAAAGGATGATAAGCCGTAAAAAAAAATAAAATAAAATAAAATAAAAACTTGCCTTCACGTTAACCTCCAAGGGAACCACGTTTCTGCTGCTTCTAGAGTTTTCCTCGTCTCTGGGGAGATTGTCTAACATTCAGTGCCATATTCGAGAATAGTCAGCAATCCAGCACGTTTTAATTTATTTCTAACGAAACTTGTTTCTCAGCACTTTTCTTAGCTCTTGAAGGCATCTTTCGCTAGTGCAGTGCGTGTTCGGATCTCGGTGTCACATTTCCCAACCTCTGCTTAAAATGCTTCCCAGATATTTAAACTTCTTTAACTCCTTGATGTTTATATCTTCATTTCGTAACTCGCACATTGGGTTTTTTATATTGGTGATGACAATACTTCATTCTCCTTTGCAGTTAATGGTTTGTCCTTTTTTTCCTCGCTTTTTTCTAGGAGGTCCCGTAGCTTTCTTTCCGAGTCAACCATCAGCACAATATCATCTGCGTATCTTATATTGTTAAGATTACGCCAGTCGATAATAAATCTTGGTAGGGTCTCCAGTTCTTTAGGGATGGCATCACTGTAAAGGTTTAATAAATCAGAGAAGATGCTTCTTGTCTCACGCCCCTTTCTATTTTTGTATAGCTATTTATATTCAATCCGTATGCAGGCGGTCTGCTCTAAGTTCGAGATTATTGTAACATTATTTGTAAACAGATTTGATCTTTTCCCAGCAGTTCAAATGGATCCTAGTGCCGTACTTTATCGAATCAGCGAAATTTGAAAGACAATCTGTCGCTCTTATTTATGTTAAGGGATCCACCCGTTATTCATACAAGTGGACTCGCCCAGTGTGTACTTGTACTGCTGCCGGTGAATACCCGAGAGAGTGAGTGAAAGGGATACAGTGAGAGAGTGAGAGTCTGAGGTAACCGCTTTGTAGGAGTCACAGTTGCGAGCACGTAGACTCAGAAGGAAGTCATACTTCGACACTGAATTTCCCAGACTGTATGTATATATATATATATATATATATATTACTATTGCTACTAACCGCATTTCTGGATCTACTAACCGTATTACCAATTGTATTATTACGTCAATGCATTTATTTGATATGTTTCATTCCTGCGTTTGTCATTCATTGGAGACCGGATTTCATCCCGAAATCCACAACAATATATAAAACTATAATAATGATAGCCAAAGACAGATTAAGTCATCGTAATTTCTTTCAGTGTTAATATTATTAATCTTTTCTTTCATTATATTTCAGCTTCTCTTTTTTTCTTTGAAGGTGGGGGATGTCTTGACGATTACTACCGTGTAGGGAGTTGGAACCTGACAGTGAGTCCACTTCGAAATTCAACATTAAATAACCTAACAAGGCTTGATATGACGTAAAAAAATCAACCAACCTAAGCTAATCTAATCTGGATTAGTTGAAGATGGAAGCTGGGTAGTCAGTTCAGTTCTGACTGCAGGTTTCATACAAGAATTGACAGTAACGCAACAAGGATTGAAATGTCGAATGAAAAGTCAACAAACCTTGTCTGGTTAAAAATTACTAAAGAGTAGAGATTCCGATCATCGCTTGGTGCCAACTACAAAATTCGAGATTAAATAATCCAATTATATGACGTAAAATCAATCAACCTAACTTGGATAAAAATTACTAAAGACTAGAAATTTCGATCCTCACTGGGTGCCCCGTAAAAAATTTGACATAAAATAATCCAACTATATGACGTAAAATCAACCAACCTAACTTCCTAACTTGGATAAAAATGACTAAGAAATATAAAATTCGATCCTCACTGGGTGCCCCGGGCAAAATTTGAAATTAAATAATCCAGCAAATGTTGACATGGCGTAAAATCAACCGACCTAACCTAGTCTGATTGACTATAACTACTGTGTAGGGAATTCGATCCTCACTAGGTGCCTCCATACAAAATTCAAATGATGGCTTGTAGGACATACCGATGGCAAAAGAGACAAAGAGGCTGCAGAATATAGATCGGGAAGTATATTAAGGAAGCAAACATTGTGAAAGTTTGACCTTTATTACAGGAGAGTGAATTGTCGTGGGTGTCTCCTACACGTGGCCTTGTGCCAAACTAATCTAAATAAACATAAAGGCACTTCAGTGTTAACTAATATAATCTAAGTAAAAATGAAAGCATAAGTTTTGAACTAGATAATAATGGTGGGAAGTAAGCTAGACTCTCAGAGGAAGTTCGGAGGCAGAATGACAGGCTTAGATTTAGATGGCCTGATAGACATAATCTTCTGATCATGAATACGACCGGCGGTGCGCATTGAAGCAGCAACTGTCTTTCCTTATAAATGAAACCATGGTAGACGTCTATTGCGTTACTGCCATCCTTAGATAGCATAATTGGACACGAAGCACAAATTTGATCTCCTTAGCAACCGACTGTGCACAAATGCATTATCTTCCTCAGAAACAAATACTGCAGCTTCTTTTTTGTTTTTGTTGTTGTTAATTGGAGTATTTTGCAGTAATTTTCGAAAAGATGACAGTATGACCGGATCTGAAGTGTCAAATTGACCCATTTCTAAGACTACCGAAGAAAGTCTCTCTAATCATAACAATTTTCCTAGACTGATTGATTAAATTCCGACGTATGGGATAGTTAACACGAAAGAGGCAGTCCAAGGTGTAAGCTTCGCACTGGATACATCAAAATCAAGATGGCGAATAAATCTAGCTACCTGGGTAGTGTAGTAATAAATGACGGACAATGTCACATTAACAGAGCTACATAGGAATAAAGCTGTCTTCAAGAAACTGAGGAAAGTATTAAGAGATAAGAAAATCTTGTAAAAAAACAAATGAAATAGTGCGGATCGGCGTCGTAATATCTAGAATCAGAAAGAGACGGTTGAATTTTCTTGGCTACAATGATGAAGGCGGATTTTGAAGAATATGAAACTCACAGGACATGTCGAAGGCTAAACGAACAGGGGAAACAGCTGGCTAACACTTTCACTCGCAGTAACCCACTTCCGTTTTAATGGTCTTATCGCCTTACTTGGTGGTGTGAAATGGTTTTTAAAAAAATCTTAATTTAGAAAGAAACAAAAAAAATTATATAGGTGGTTATGTTCAGATGCTAAGAATGTAAAAGGATTCCAATCTGTTACTATAGACTTTACGTCCGGGGTATGACGATAAACTACATCCGGAAACTAAAGCCTCTGATCAGGAGATTTTGAGAAGTATGGAACCACCTCTCAATTGCTGTTGATCCCAGGTCGACCTTCATCTCTAAAACCAAGTTCCTACCATTCTCACCTGGCAGGTCCTAAATTTTCTCTAAGCATGATGAACGATTCTGTTCTCGATGAAGTTTCAGGTTTTAAACATCTACTTTTACTCCAGACGACAAATGGAATAATTTACGATCCATTGTATCGCTCCAGAAAGTACCCGACACAACCTGCAATTCTTGATCTTTACAAAAGGCAGATCAAAGTCAAAATGGAGTACTGTTGCCGTATCTGGACTGGAGCTGCCCAGTCCTCATTTTCCAGAATTCAAGATTGTTTGCGTGACTTTTTTTTTTTTTTTGTAGCAGGGGTGTGTGAAATATTTTACACTTTGCAGCCTCTGTAACAACGGATTAAAAAAGTTACACGCACACATATATACTTTTATTATAAATTAACTGATTTAAATTAAAGCGAATTTTGGAAAATTCGCTTGAAGATGAAACAGAAGTAATGCTTTTAATTTAATTATATAATTGAATTTGAAGATTTTAGTTGCTGTTTTTGAAACATGGTAATTCTTGTGTACCGATGGAACCCTATTTTCAAATCGGATAATTTATAATATTTAATGCTCTGTAAATATATATATATATATATATATATATATATATTATATATACACACACACACACACTATAATATATATATATATATATAATTTAAATCTATTTAAACTCGGTGGGTGAAGAAAAATTGGATGGCACAATATTCAAATAAATTAGCATCCGACGAAAATTGGTTAAAAAGAAATCACCAGAAACCTCTGAACAGGGCGAAAGAAATCATCCAGTACCTTAAATCTATGGCACAGAGAAAAAAAAAACGTCCAATACACTAGAACAAAATACAATAGAGCAAAAGTAAAATAAATAAATCCTAATGAGCTAGGTACTACCTACCTAGGTTTTACCACATGGGATCCTCAGGGTGAACTGGATAAGGAGGAATTTATATATATATATATAACATGTGTTAATAATTGGTAATATTACTATAAATATATTTTCATAATATTTTCTCTTTAGAGGGTAATGTTCAAATGCCGAAGTTTATGAAACCAATGTCTACAGTGCAATAACATGTAAATTGGAGAGATTTCACGTGATCTAAAGACCCGGATCGAGGAACAAAAAAGAGATTTGCGTTTAGATAAACATTCAAATTCTATCGTTTTACACTGAAACAACGTATGACACTAATTTCATCACTTCAAACCTTTACAAAAAAGAACAATCCTTTAAAGAGAAAATATTATGAAAATATATTTATAGCAATATTACTATTAGCACACATTTAAAAACTACTTTATATCAACACTTTTCTGCAGTTCCATTGTTCATGAATCTAACTTATCTCTTCCGAATACATAAAAATCAATATATATTCAAAATACGCACGAGATATACTTTAACGAAAAATCTAACCAAACAAAATTTTCAAAATATCGTACAGCGTCTCACTTTTACACACTTTAACATCCA